TGGTGGATTTTGGTATTTTATGGTCACATGGCCTAAGCTAGACTTAGGACTTGAACATCATAGTGAGTTAGGATTTTTATCTGTCATCTTTGTTCATGTCACATTTTGCCTAAGTTTAATCATTTTTTTATCATGAATTATTTTGGTGGGTCATTATGTATAAATGGAGGATTATTGTAATAATTGTAAAGAAGCTTGTAATTTGTATTATGGAGACTTGATGTAATATGGAAGCATATATATGATGAAAGGGAAATAGGCCTATTCTAGGATGTAAATTATGTTTTATGTTTCAAAGATGCGTGCAAATGGATATTGTGATTGAAATTAGTTTAACTTTGAGAAAGTAAGCATGGATTATGAATATTGATCAAATTGGATATAAATTGTGAAGGGTTGTAAGAGCACCAAGGCATTGCTGTTCCTTGAGTGCCACCCATGTTTATTAGGTACACATTGAGGTTAGATAACACACCTTCTAATGTGGGATTTATGGGAAAAACAAAGGGAACTCTGGAGAAATTTCTAGAAATTGGCAGAATTTGGGTGAACTTTCGGAGAGCATATCTCCCTCCACAAATGTCCAATAGGGACGTTCCATACACTATTTTAAAGCTTGTGATGTCCTCTATCTTTTGTCAAAATTTGAGGTCAATAGGAGTTATAAGAAGCCCTGTAGAAGACATAGAACACAGACTGTTCAGAACGCCATGCACATGGGGCTGTCTCTGCAGTTTTTGGGAAAATTATTACCGTTTCATTTCTTGGTCAAATTAGGTGTATGATATGTAAAATTCAAGCTTGAGGTGTCTAGTTTACTGTATAAAAATTTGAAAGAAATTGGTTGAGTTAAATTTCAAGAATCATTGAGATAGTGTAGGATATTTAGAGCCCTTTTTGAGGTTGGCTGACAGATTTTCTTGTCCAACATCGAACGGTGATAACCGGAGCAAACGAGGACTTTATGACTCGTGTGATAGATTGTTAGAAATATAATTAAGTGTAGAATAACATACTAAAATATGGGAAGCACGTGGATTGCGAATTTTCAGCAGTAATTAAAATACCAAACCATGTTCGGATAGGTAGAAAACCAAAAAGTGAGATTTAAGCTAAGTGGGTTTATGGAAACCCCTTAGTGAATTGAGAGAAGTATTTTATGATATTTAGACATTTTAGATTATTATTCCGCAAAGAGTTATCAGTTACGGTCACAACTTTTATTTATTACGTTTTGTTATTGTTTTAAATGCTCGGGTAATAAAAAAGAAAAGTTTACTCGCATTTTTATAAATGAATTGCTGTGATTGTAACTGCGCTTAATATCATAATCAATGTTCACAATACCAGTGTACAACGGGCTGTTACAAGGACCCCGAGCGGAACCAAATATATATCAGAGGTATACACAGTCAATACCAAGAGAGGACCCCAAGCAGACATCAGTGCATATAGAATCAATGGCCAAAGATCATTACATAAATCACATCAGAACAAAACATGTCATATTTTCATGTAGCTCTATATGAATCCATCTACGTAAAGCATCAAATACAATCATACAATTCAACCATAGTCCACTAACCATGGTGGAATACACAAGTAAGAATAGACTCCTTAAACATAGAGCTTACCTCTTGAAGCTTTACCAATTTACTTACTTGTAGCACAAGTTACTTATCTTGCTCCGAAGGAATCCAGACGTTCATAGTCCCTAGGCACCCCTAGAGAAGGAATTCAAAACAAAACTTAATAAATGATACGATTCCATGTAATTACACATGACATACACTTTACTGTTTACTTTCATTTCTTCACACTTATGCCAATCATATGCCAATCCACAAGTCAAGACCTTAATTTCTTGTACTCACTTTTTAGACCATTTAAAGATGATTACTTGCCCCACAAGCAACCACATGGTTTTATACCTACTTAGGGCCTTAGAATGACCCAACAAAGATTCTAAAATACCTTTTTCAAATTTTAACATTTCCAAGCCCCAAAAACCCTACAAAGGCCGCAGCCAAGACCTAGGGAAAGCTAGGGATTTGCATCAAATCAATTGACACAACTAATAATTCCTAGAACCCTCACTTGGCCCATATGTTACCTATGTGTCCTTATAGCAATTTAAGCACAACTTTTGCCCATTCTTCCTTCACAAGGCCGAGGGCACCCATACAAAGGAATCAAGATGGCTTTCGTCATTTCTTAAGTCATCTCAACTCATAATCATACCAATGAAACACATTAGGATGTCAACACATGATCAAAATAACTTTTACACAATTAACCCCAAGGAGGGTTTTCAAGGGATATTTTTTTTGTAATCTCACTTTCACACTTAAATCTCAACATCCAAACACATACTAACTTTCACCAATCATGCAATTTAATTTTTGCACACCAAACCCTTATATCCCACCATGGCCGAACCTAGGGGAGGAAGGTGCAAGGGAATTTTTCAAAATTCCAACTCATAATCATGCTTATCGCACATTATAACTTCATAAAAACACTAATTCATCAACAATTTCAAATTTCAAACTCAATAATTTCCCACCAAAAAGTGCTCATAAAACTTAAATAATATAAATCCAACCACATGAATGATGATTTCTTACCTCCAATCTACAAAGTACAAGGAACCAAACCCAAGCTTGGCTCTACCAAAAACTACAATTTCCCTCTTAGATGAATAGTGACCCGAAAAGGGAGAAGAATAGAACTCTTCACACAAGCGCTTTCAGCCCAAACAAAATGGTGGAATGGATTCCTTGGGTGATTTATTATAAATTTCGTGTAATGCACTTAAGGATTTGGTTGATTGTGGAGGTAGAAATCAAGAGGAGAATAAAGCTTGAACCTAGCTCCCATGGTGGAAATGGCGCGGCCAGAAGAGAGAGAGAAGAGGGAAGCTAATGTGAAAATTGCTCAACTTAAGTGACTTGAGCTTTTATGTATATGTGGTCTTTGAACGATTTTTTTTTTCACTCAATTTCACTTAAATTGACCCGGCACTAACTTAAAGCCATAGACATATTTTTATTTTTCTGAACTCATTTACATTAATTTTCATTTCCTAAGGAACAATATTAACAATTTACAGTAGGATTTCTGCAACGTTTTTGATGAAATGAACTGTGAATCACTAATTGTGCACTGTTGGCACACGAAACAATAAAACTTCTAAACTTATCACTTTTAGGTCTATCATGACTTGTTTGGCATATATTGGACTTTCTTGTTCTTATTACATCATTTAGTTCTGGACTCTACCAGTTGCTTAAACAGCGGTATAAAATACTTGACAGAAATACTATTCATGAAATTTTCACGGAAAGTGATAGACTATATAATTTTTCGTTCTGAACTCATATTTGGCATCAGAATTGCCAAATTAGGTCTCTAACGTCATTTTGCTCATTTCCTAGCTCTACTGATTGCTACACAATAATACAGAACATCCGGCATAAGGCACTGTTCATGACCTAGTCATGATTACAGTCAAAATACTCAAAATCACGTTCTGAATCTAATTATGACATTTAAATCCTTATATTAAATCTCTTTTTAAGATTTACCAATTGGGGTCATTATACTGTTGACCCCGACCCGGGAATCATGGGTTGAACCAGGGGTTTTTGAGAGTCAAAGGGTCAACGTACATGCAAGGTTTAACTGCAGACCCCAATCCTCAGAGAGAGGGTTAGTGACCCGATGGGGTCATCCTCGTTGTGGGGCAGAGTTTTAAAACACTGGGTCAAACCCAAGAGTAGGAACGATAAAATGATAATGTGTGGATGACTAATATAGTTTTAGATTTTTGGAGAGCTGTTGCTTAGTAATTTTTAATATTTGTTAAAAATTATATATGTTTTACTAATTGAGAAAATTATATTAGGTTTTATTTTTTTTATTAATATCATTGCAATTTTTTTATTGACTCTTATAATTTTGAATGTTTGTTCAAAATTCATATGGCTTTTTAAAATCTTATAAATTCATATTGTCCTTTCAAATCTTATAAATTATATTAAAATCTTTTAAAATTCAATCTTATAAAATCTTGATTGTTTTTTTTTTAAAGTCCCTCCAATTCTATACAGTATTTTAAAATTTATAAGATTTTTATGTGAAAAAAATCTTTTAAAATTCTAATCCAATACATCACCCTAAAATCATTTTAGAAGCTTATGTCTAATCTCTAAAATAGCATAATAGTTGGGCTTTTTCACCCTTTTTTCCCTCATTAATTATTTAATAACCATTTTGCCCCTTATTCAGAACTATCTACCAATTTGTCCCTCTTTAATCGATTAAATTGAATATTTAATCGATTAAATAGTCAAATAAAGATTTAATCAATTAAATCTTCAACTTAATCGATTAAATATTCCTCTTTATCAGAAGAACAACCTTAAGCATGGGAGATTTAGTCGATTAAATAGGGAGATTTAATCGACTAAATCTTCAAGTCAACGATTTTTGCCTATTTTGACCATTTAATCGATTAAATTTTTGGTTTAATCGATTAAAGAGGGGCAGATTGGTAGATAGTTCTGAATAAGGGGCAAAATGGTTATTAAATAATTAATGAGAGACAAAAGAGTGAAAAAGCCATAATAGTTGGCTTCCTTAACAATATGATACATGTCAACATCCTAATTAAAAAAAAAGAAAAAGCTTTCAAGCAATCTTATTTTTATGAAAAATGCTAACGAAAATCTTTAAGAAACTTGTTAATAATTTAAATATAAAAAATACTAATTAAAAAAAAAGTTTAAAAAAATTTCACCCTATTTTTATTCTTGTGAAATATCTCGCTAAATTTTTTCTTACTGCTATTAAAAAAGTTATTAATAACACAAAACAATATAATGTTTAGATAATTGTTGTTAATGTAAAACTCATTTACCAAGATGATATAAAGATATCGATGAAAGAGAAGCGAGCGCCATGGTAGAGAAGATTTGGAATTTTGCGTTGGTTTTGAGTTGGGACATTCAGAAGAACTCACAAGTCACAAGACAATGGGTTCGTAGCCCATTCCACAAAGGACCAAAACAAGTCATTTGTTTGGTTTGGTCTTCTTTGCCACACTGTTGTTCTGACATGTCATATTCAATTTTGAATTCACCGGTTTCCCTCTGAAATAAAAAGGTGTTTTTTTTTTTTTAGCAGGAGTGACCCCATCAAGTGTTTGTGAAAATGCCAAACAGAAAAAACTCCTTCGTCCATAACCCCAACAACCAATCCACAACCCCAAGAAGGTCACCGAGGTTACTCCTCCTCCAAAACAACCACAACAGTCCCCCAGCGCCCAACCCCGAATCCGCAAAATCCAACGATTCCACTAAGAAATCATTGGTCGAATCCAGAAACTGCACTGTTGGGTTGAGAAGATCTCCCAGGTTGAACAATGGGGTCGTTGGGTTTTCCTCTCTTAGACGATCTCCCAGGTTGTCCAATCACAAACCCCACGGGAATGAGCAAATGGATAAGAAATCAAGTAAATCTGATGAATTTTCCTGTGATTCGGCGAAATCGAGGAAAGTGAAGGGTAGTGAAGCAAAAACGAAAGAAAATTCCATGGTTACTGATGAGGCACTTGCGGTTGAAGGTGGAGGAAAAGGGAAGGCGAGAAATGGAGACAGGATTGAAGTTGGAGTGAAGAGGAAGCGAGGTGGCGAAGAAATTGCCAAAGGGTGGACAAAAGAACAAGAATTGGCTCTGCAAAGAGCATATTTTGCTGCAAAGCCCAGCCCCCATTTCTGGAAGAACGTTTCTAAACTGGTATGGTATTCATTTCCCTGCCTTGGTGTCTTTGATAGAGGCTGTAGTTGAGAGGTTTGACTTGGTTTGGCTTCAACTGGGAACTAAATTTGAGAATGTTGTTGCAATCTTACTGAAATTTGCAAGTTTTATTCTTGACAGTGGCTTGTGCAATCTTGAAAGCTGACAGTTATGTGCTTTGCATTTTTGAAAAGTTTAGTTAATTTCTGGGGTTTAGGATCATACAGAAAGTGAAACAGTTTGCTTTATTGTGAAACACCTCAAGGATGAAAACTTGGTTGATGATTGCCTTTTTTTTGCCTTAATTTTGTTGTCTTTGTTAATGTTAAAAAAAAGTATGATGCTGGAAGTGTCACCCAAGATCTTGCATGTTCTTTGTTAGCTGAGGATAACGGTGGATAAATGATTATGTAATTTGGAAGGACAAACGTATAGCTCAGTGAAATGTTGATAACTGTTTTTGAAATGGAGTTGCTATTGATAAGTTCTCCGTTTCTATATATTTCCTAATGAATAAATGCAAATTCATAATTTATTGGTAGTTAGTTGCAGATGGATGCGGATCATTCTCATCTTTGGGGCTAGCATATAGCCATTTTTTATTCTTGTATGTATTTAATCGCTGCCATACAAAATTTATTGCAGGTGCCCGGAAAGTCCCAACAAGAGTGCTTTGATAGGATTCACCGTGACCATATAACACCGCCTCAATCTCATCCTCGGTCAAGGGCAAAGACAATTAAGTCATCACCCCTTCATAAATTCTCAATATCTGCAAGTAAACTGCTCAAACCAATTGATAAGACTGTTAGAAGATCAAATTTTCTCAAACCGAAGAACTACATTACCCAGAAGTCTATTGAGAAGCTGTTACAACGCCATCTTAAAGTTGATCAAGACCTTGAAGGGGACATTTTTTCTGTTCTTGAACCCAACATTGATTTTTCTTCTAATACCGTTAAGCCTTGTGAAGGACTTTCTACTCCGAAACAGCTAAAGGAAAATCAAGGGATGCTGCAAAGTTGCACTGAAACGTTGTCTTCAAGCCAAAAGAAGCCCCTTTCAAGATTTAGTAGCTCGTACGTTACAAATCTTGTTAGTCCCGCTGTACTAAAGCAAGTTAAAAACAGGGAACTGCATGAGAAATATATCAATCAATTACGCTGTAGGGAAGCTAGGAGAAAAGCAGCCTCTGCACGGACACAAAAGCCAATAAGTGGAAAAATTATTGGAGAAGGAAGCAGCATTCAGACAAAGGATGTAGTTAAAGCTGCAAAAGTTGCCTTGGTTTCTGAAGCTAGAGAAGCTATCAATAAGTTTCAACAGTCACAAGTCAATTTCATGGACGACTCATATAATTCTGATGAGGACAATGATGATTGCTTTGGAGTTGAAGATGAAAGTCAATAGGTTTTTCTCGAGTTAACTGAGTGAAATACAATTGACACATTGCATGTATAGTAGTTTGACTTGAAGTTTTATATGCTTGTAGCCTAGTCAAAATCTAATTTTTCGAAAAACCTAGATTTTGTAACATTTTTTCTGTGGTTAATAAAAACTAGCAATGCACGTTTTTCTTGTTCCATACCTCCATCATATTCTGGCAATGAGAATTTTCTTGATGTGTTTTATAGTAATAATTGTCTTGTATTCGTCTAGGTACTTAGATTGAAATATAGATTGGAAGATCAGAATGAGAAAGACCTGCTTCGATTATCTTTTAATAATAAGCTCTAAGTACACCACTTTACATATAGCAGCTACAATTTCTACATGATATGACGCTTTTATATTTTGTTGGGGACTGTAAATAGCATTGGTGCAACTTCTTTGTTCTGCATTCGGTCGTGGCCTTACATATTTTTAAATGAATTCCACCTTTATGTCCTGCCTCTTTGTTTAAGAAATTGTATTTTCATCTTCTTTTTTTCTTTTTCTTTTTCACCACTATTTGCTAGCTGTCCAAAAAATTGTTTGAACCCCAAGTCATACTTATTATGATGTTAGTTTGGATGGGAAACTGGAGCACCCATTTGAATTTATGAGTTGTTTTAGGCGTAATTGGTTATGGTCTCTTGGGGACATTGGATGAAATTGGGCTGATATAATCACAAATCGTGATGAATTCTAGTCTGAGTAGTAGTTGATGTTTGATAGGATTGCCAAGGAAAATTTAAAGGCGAAAGGTACTGGAAAATCTTTCTCTCCAATATTATGGAGCTGCAGGAGTGCTGCCTAATCTAATACAGCTGCCACTGTATAGGAATCTAAAAGTATATAGTATATTAATTTATAGTAGTTGAATCTTATACTATTATACAAACATTGTGAATAAAGATGTATCGTGTGATCTTGACTCGAGTTAATATTCTTTTCTGCTGAGTGCTTTCACTCCTGCCCATCAAGTGCAACATGTAAATCTCAATTTATTCATGGTCTACCTTTATCTGTTAATCGTTGGCAACTGGCAAGTGAAAGGAATCGCATTATATTTTTAATTATTTTGTTATTCTTTTATGTTAAGATGTGCTTTGCTTGCTTGCGTTAAGTGGTAGATTATTTTGTTATTGCATGATGGCTGTGTAAGGCTTTTGTTATTTTAAATACATTCGGAGAAATATTTCTTGTGTCGTGTCATCTTAATATTTTTGACTAGGAATCTGTGTCTATTTCATGTCTTTTACCTTGTCGATGTTTGTAATCTGCACATCTTTAATATCCCATTTTATCCATGCGTGCTTAATGCGAACAAAATCTTTAATATATTAGCTTGTTTTCTTGAAATCTGTACAAAAGCGGTTTGCTTTTCAATTTTATTTGGAAACTATTGTTGCTTATTATCTCTTGTAACAAGTTGCGAAGTTTGTGAATGATTTTGGTCCAACTATATTTTAAGTCCATTTTTTATCCCTTCTTCATGGATTGATGCTTTTATATGTTGAATATGAAGGTCTATTCCATCAGGAACATTAATGAAATGTTGAGTTCTATTATCATCTAAAATTAACTCGGCAAGTCCCTCTGCGGAAATAGATGATTTGATCACTTAGTTTTCTCCATGATGCAACATGCATACTTCTAACATGGGATACCTTATGGATTGACTGAAATCAAATAAGAAAGATGGATTATATTGTAACCTAAAGAAGAGAAGCAAATAAAGTATGATGAATAGCATGGCTAATTTTCACTTCATCTCTATTCAAGGTTTTTGTTTTTTTTACCTTGCATAGCTAAGGTTATATGGTTCTTGGTTTGTGTTGACGTTAGACTGATAGTCACAGTCTGATTTGCTTTATGGTTGACTTGTCATTAGAGGTATTACAAAATACCAAGTTAGCCGTATTTCTTGTCATGCCACTGCCAACTGTTTCCTCCTGTTTTCTACTAGTTTGCATCCTCCAATTTTTATGCTAGGTACTAAACAACTTAACCTTGTGCTATTCGTTGATCAATAGTTTTTTTTTTTTTGGTAACATGATGAGTAGTTTTTTGAAGTCCCTAATTCTGGCTCATCATTGTTGTTGTACTTACGAATATTATCAGGATCAGTAATTCTGCAGTTATCATGCATTTGCAGTTAACTTTAGAACTTTTAAAGGCACCAAGCTGTAGCTTTCGCTTCCTGGAAATAGAAACGATCTTATTCATTTCAATAGTAATAATGTAATAGTAAGGAACTGATGTACACAACTTAACATTCTTGATAGTCCTTCGAGGGTACTACCTCATCTTGCAATTATTGAGAAATAATAAAGCAACTAGCCAATAATTCATGTTATAAGTGGTTGTTATGCAATTCATTTAGCAACCTTGCTTCTCATATAAGTGTTAGATATCTGAATGATAAGAATCCTTTTAAAATTGTGTCATCCACTAGGTTGTGTGGCCACAGCAAAAGGATACAGATGACACAATCATTTGTTTAATGTCCGAGAAAAGAAATTTCGAAACAGCCGCATATTCAGGAATCTATTAAAATTAGTTTGATTCCACTTATCGATTTAGCAACAACTCTCCTCCATTTTAAATTGCTACTGAAAAAATGGATTTTTCTGGCAAGGACAAACTGAAGCTTGAACTAAAGATACCCCATTTTATGTTAAAATATAGGGTAAAGCTGTAAGAGTGAAAGCATCAATCAAAGCCAAGTTATTTGGAATCTCATTAACACTCTAATCCCTAGAATTACACTAGTAAAGTTTTGCTTTTAAACCATCTGCAAACTCCTAGAGACATCTTCCACCATAACCTGCATTTCTGAATAGTGCTTGCTTAATCTCTTCAGGGCTCATAAAATTTCTCTGCTCGGCTGCCTAAGACCATAAGACCAATAAGTTAAAAGAATTAAGAAACATGTTTGATTTCAGGCAAATAAACAAATATTGAGGGCATTAAAATAGGTTAACAATCACCTCTGAGCAAGATGCTTGCATTGAAAAATCATTGAAGCTGCTTATAACACACTGGTGAATCTCAAGGCCTAATGATTCTAAGGTGTTGACTGTTGACAGCAACAATCCCGGCTTTGTGGCACAGCAGATGCTGATCCTCGTATCCTGTTCTCTCCTCTCAACATCAAACTGCAAAAACATTAAAGTTTTCATATATTTATTCAGGAACTTGGTCTGTGCTTATGCATCAGTTCAGAGTTGACTGAGTGACACTATAGCTAAACCATACCTTGGGGGAGTTTCTTACCATAACTTCATTTGGCTTTAGCTCCTTAGAAATGCCCAGGAAGTTTATCTGATTTGTTCCCTCCTCCATTTCTTCTTCTTGCAACTTACCAATCCTTTCTAGAAGCTCTTTCATGTAATCAATGGTATCTCCAAGAATGGAGGTCCTGTCCATCTGTCAAAGTTTATGTTCTCATTTGTTAGTTCAAAGGTCATAGAGCAAGTATATAACAACAAATGAAAGTGTTGGTCATGGTTTATCATGCAAAGGGCACCTACTTGAGAAAGCTAATTTGATTTCTATGGATTGAGACATTGATAACAAGGAAAATGCACATAATATATCTTTAGAATCACCTTGCTGATCTTAGGGACTATTGACCTTAGCATGGAAAGACGGTCATTCAGACGCTTTCTTCTCCTTCTTTCTGCCATGAGATTCTTTGAGGGCTGCCCTTCAAGTTTTTTGGATTTTGGTTTCTTCTCTCCACACATGCCCATGTTGAAGACTGGAATCTCTGTAGCTTGTTCCTCAACTTTGCAGCTATTTCTTATTTGTTCCAAACTCTGCTTGTTACTGCCTAGAAAGCCAAACTCTTCATCCTCCATTGATGGGTTATCCTCTTGTGGCAAAAGTGGTGCTGAGTCATTATTCCTGGTGTATGATGAATCAAGCTCTGGCATTGTGAACCCGTCAACAAAAGGGTATGCTGCTTCACTGCCATAAGGACATTCAAATCTATGGTCTAATGGTGTTGAAAATGCAGCAAATGAGGGATTTAAAGTAGCTAAAGCTGGGTTCTCATCAAAAGAGTCAAAGCTCCACCCACTAGGAAGCATCTCGTTCAACCCAGTGGACAAAGCATTCCAAGTGTCTTTTCTTGGAGCAAGTAGTTCCTCCAGAAAACCAAGTTGAGAAAGCTCCATCTTTGGTTCTGTTTTTCTCTCTCTTTTCCTCCCTCTTCCCTCTTGTTTAGAATGGAGGTGGTGAATTGGGTTAAAAAAACTCAGACACAGGAGGCTTAATAAGATGAAGTTGAACCAAATGGGATGAGTTTGTTTAAATAATAGTATATTATGTAATAAGCCTAATAGGGTCCATTCTTCTATCAAACACCTATCATTACAGAATGTATTACAGTGATAAGTCTTGTGAAATAGCACCTAGATGTAGCCTCGGATAAAAATGGAATCTTGTTTTCTCTCTCTCACTCTCAAGGTGAATTAATGTCCTTTTCACCGAAATAATCACCCAGACAGAATTTGTATTTAATTCCAATTCCTTGAAAACTTTGACCCACAATTCTGTCTTTAACGAAAATGGGTGGAATTAGCATCATAGACTGTCAGGTACTTATTCCATTTTTAATGCAACCCCCTCACTCTTTCATCTTCAAAATGAAATAATGCATCTCTCCCTACCATATGATGCCCTCTACACTCTACTCTATACACAATTGTCAATAGTTTTGGTTATTCTATAGAATTTTTAAAAACTTTAAGGTAAGTTTTTATGTACTTAGAAATATTACAATTTGCAACATTGTTAATTTCATTAACAACCATTCCATTTTTATTTTTTTTAATTTCTTCATGTTATCAGTTTCCTTTCATGCCAGCCTGTTTTGTCTTCAATTGTAGATACGTGTCTATAGTTTTGTTTGACAGCGGACTCCATTAAAGACTTATATCCTAAGAGATTTTAAAATAAAAAAAGTGAGCCAATTTTTTTAACAGGAATGCATTTAAGAAAAGAAATATTTAAGTCAATTTTTTTTTGTTTTGTGTGCATTTCTTTTGCATATTTTA